CCATGGAAAGGTGCTCGGGTTGGGCGGAGGCACGTCCGGTCAACGCCCATCTCGTCGAGCGTCTTGGCGTACATGATGTTGAGGCCGCTGCCCCCATCCATTAGTACTTTGGTGAGTCGCTTTGGGCCGATGATCGGGTTGACCACAAGCGGATACATCCCTAGGTGCGGGACACTATCCAGATGGTCGGTCCGGTCGAAGGTTATGGCGGACTCTGACCACCGGATAAAGGGAGGTGTGGGTGGCTTGGCCATGTAGACCTCGTGGCTAGTGACCTTCTGTCGATGTTTAGAGTCGTAGGCCGCTGATCCTCCAAAGATCATAGGGCAGCCGTCCGACGTCGGAAAGCCATCGTCCTTCTCCTCGGCTGTCAATGTTTAGAGTTGTAGGCCGCTGATCCTCCGAAGATCATAGGGCAGCCGTCCGATGTCGGAAAGCCATCGTCCTTCTCCTCGGCGTCGTCTGTGGTGGGGGTAGTGTCCTTTCCCTACTCCCTCTTGTTGGAGCCTTCGGACAGGAACCACCGCATGAGGCTGCATTCCTTGAGTAGATGCTTTACCGGGAAGGCATGGTTCGGGCATGTCCCCTCGAGTAATTTTTTGAAGTGGTTCAGAGTGCCCTCCGTGGGCTTCCAACCACCCTTGCAGTCAGCAGCGGCCACGAGCGAGCCCTCACGCCATTGCTTCTTGTTCTTTCTTTTGGTGGAACGATTGGAGGTGCCTTCACCAACACCCTCGTCCCGCCTTGCCTTGCCCTCGAGAGGATCAAAGATCGCTCCAACCGCCTCTTCTCCTGAGGCGTGGCTGGTGGCGATGTCTAGAAGTTCCTTGGTGGTCTGTGGGCCCTTGCATCCCAGCTTATGAACCAAAGACTCATAGGTAGTCCTGGACAGGAAGGCTCCTATAACGTCGGCCTCAGCGATGTTAGGGAGCTCGTTGCCCTACCGGGAGAACCGCTGGATGTACCCTCGGAGGGTCTCACCGGCCTTTTGACGGTAGTTCTTGAGGTCCCATGGGTTCTCAAGGCGCTTGTATATGCCCTAGAAGTTCCCCACAAAGATCTCCTTTAGATCCACCCAACTCTGGATCGCGTTGGATGGTAGGTGTTCCAACCATGCTCATGCCAAATCGGCTAAGAACAGTGGAAGGTTGCGGATAATGAAGTCGTCATTATTCGCACCACCGGCTTGGCAGGCAAGCCGATAGTCTTCGAGCCAAAGTCTGGGGTTTGTCTCCCCAGAGTACTTAGGGATATTGGTAGGTGGTCGGTACCTTGGCGGGAAAGCAACGTTGAGGATGTGCTGGCCGAAGGCCTGAGGGCCCGGCAGGCCAGGGCTCGGGCTCCGGTCCTCGCCGCTGTCATAGCGCCCGCAGCGACGAGGATGATAGCCGCAGTGGGCTCCTCTCTTGGGTCGCTGTAGGTACATCTGCGGGCGTCGAGGGTGCTGTGTGCATCGTGGTTACGGCCGAGACGTTGATGTATCTGGACCGCAACGCGTTGCCTGCCGCCTTGTGGTGCCTGGTGGACCGATGCGTCCCTGCCAGGACGCCCGAAGGGCGTACGCTGGCTGGTGTCGAGCTCGCATCGCCAAGACAACGAGCTCTCCGATTGCTGTGCCACCGCACGCTCAAGCAGCGTGCGAATCTCACGGTGGGCCCAACAATCCTCGGGCGTTGTGGCCTCTGGAAGGCCATGGAGCAAGGCTGTTGCGGCGGCAATGTTCTGGCTTGCCCGAGCGAAGTGAGGAAGGGTTTCATCGTTGGTGATGATCCTTCGGTTTACATTAGGGCCACGGTGCATGCGCTCCCACCGTCTCCATGGTGTTTGACCTCCCAATCGACCTCCACATATTCCCGCACAAGCTAGAGTCTGGCTTCATCGATCTCCTGCTTTCAGGCTCTCAGCTGCTCCATCCGCACGTGAGGTGGGGCTGCTGTCTCCCCTTCGGTTTTGCCGCCGAGGTTGCCCGTCGGGGTAGCCTCCTCCGCGGAGATGCTTTCGATGTGCCCCTCGAGGATACCCGTCATGAAACAGTCCCGGGAGGGGTGATGGCTCCCCCTACTGGAGTCAGAACCAGAGGATGACCCTGGCTCCTCTGTCAGGAGGTTGTGGAGAGACTCTGTGACGTGTTCGATTACCTCCACGAACTCGTTGTTCACGGGCGGCTGAACCATGCGTCGTGCCACAAGGTGGCTAACGGTCACTGCAGCGTTGTGGAGACCGAACAGAAGCGCTGTCAGGGCACTCCGTATGGGATGTTCCGGAGAGATGGACCCTCCTCTGGAAAACTGCGCCATGTCATTGTCATCGGAAAGGGTGAGGCGACGCTGGTCCTCCCTGGACTGCTGGGGTCCAAGGGAGACACCAAGCTGATGCTCAAACCTCTCATGGTTGAGGCTGACGGAGGGGAGAGATTAGATGGCGGCGTTAGCTAATGCCAACTCTCCCTCCATCGTGATGATGAAGTCTAGGCTCCCGAAGCGCACGTGTGCGCCTGGGACCCAGCTGATGCCGTGGTTAGCCATCCATGGCCTATTGTGGAACGCACAAAGGCCCTACCTGGCGCGCCAACTGTTGGTGTTTCGAATAAACACCAACTAGTAAATTTATATTTGTTGCATGTTAGGCCTAGATGGTGTGCTAAAGGACACAAGGTTTATACTGGTTCGGGCAGAATGTCCCTATGTCCGGTCTGCTGCTGCTCATGTTATTAGCACCGAAAAAGGTTCGTAGTAGGGGGTACAAACGGTCGAGAGAGGGATAGGACCCAAGTCTCTAATGGAAGAGTCGAAAGGACACCAAGAGCTCGGTTGCTGCTTGGCTGTGCATTGTGTGATGTGTTGTGTATGAAAAATGATCCGTCCCCCTAGTGGGGTGTCCTGCCCTCCCATTTATAGACCAAGGGGGAGCAGGGATTACAGATGGGAGAAAGAGGAAAAAACAGGGGTGGAGAAGGTCCTTTGAAGGTGCCGGGTCCTCCTTTTCCCATGAGCCTGTCCTGCTTACATGGCAGACCATGCCAGGGATAGCACGTTTCGCTGATTCTGATAGGGCCGCGCTCTGGCTTTGTTTCAGCCAGTGGTTAGGTCCCATCCTCCTTCGACGGACGATGCGGTGTGTCAGGGTGCCGAGCCGTGACTCCGCGGGGAGTAGACGGGGAAGTGACTACACGCCTGTTACTATTGATGACGTGAGTTCCCTCTTAGATTGTAGTGGTTGTCGTATGCTCATGTTAGGATCCGCGCCCGAGGGCTAATGGCGGCGCCCACAACACTGTAAGACCAAAGTCGGCGCCTACAACATTGTTCGGGCTCTGCCATGCCTGGAAGACCTTAACGCGCCCGTCCCGTCGTATCCTGACGGTACTTTTTCTGCAGGCGTGCAGGGTATGGTCCTCGGTACTGTGGTTGACTCAAAAGTCCTGTCTAACCTCGTGCTCGTCATCATGAAGGAGCAAGGCACAGCCGTCGGGCGAGGCGGAGCCTGCCCTCAGACGTCGGGTGAGGCGGAGCCAGCCCTCAGCCATCGGGCGAGGCAGAGTCTAGCCCTAGGGGGGTCAGGCGAGGCGAAGTCTAGCCCTCGAGGGTCGGGCGAGGCGGAGCTAGCCCTCAGACGTCGAACGAGGCGGAGCCAGCCCTCACCCGTCGAGCGAGGCGGAGTCTAGCCCTCGGGGGTTGGGCGAGGTGGAACCAATCTTCCATCGTTCGAGCAAGAAGTGTAGTAGCGTTCTTGTCTGATCGGAAGCGTTAATGTTCGATGGTTATTAGCTCCACCTCATTGGGTACCCCAGTATTAGGTCCCCGACACAAAGGTTAGTAAACATGTTAGCCACCAATCAAAACAAAATTTGGATGACACACTTACTTACATGCTCTTGGTATGGGGCACCACTAGGATAGTAGGATGCTGACACTCGCATTTTCAAAGAAAGACTAAAACTTTTGGTACTCTCTAAATTGTGCTCCAACGATGCTTAAGTGAATTTCAATTCCTATCAAATTTGATGGTATTGTTGGTATGTAAGTGTTGAGTGCTCCTCTTCCGGTCGAGCCTTCGCAGATACCAAACTACCAAAGCAATTATTCATAACAATCATCATCTGCATAATAGAAATAGAATTCTATAATTGTGATAGACTTTCTTCATCACAAGCTATAACAAACAGTTGACGGACGTGGGCAAAGCTTGGAAGTATCGATTTGCCATATGCTTTGATCTTGTTGTACACTTCCAATACTGCTTTGCTCACATCCACGAAACTATACCAAAGCAATCATTCTCTATGACAAAACACAACTCTAATATGCCTCACTATGAACATGTTCCACTCACTACAACATGACTCATAGCACAAGACGTTTAGAAATGCCTCCAAAAGTGGTCAAAATGCCTTCAAAGACTTTTCAAGGCATTTTTAGAACGTCGCCTATAACATGAAAGTAAAAGGTCTTTTGAGGCACTTTTCCATAATGCCTTTTAATGTCAACATTTGAAGGCATTTTATGGCTGCCTAGAATACTTCTTAGAGGCAACCTATACTAGTAAAAAAGGGCGTACCCAGTGCAGAGAGCTCCCGCTCTGTGCGGGGTCTAGGGAAAGGTGTCAGTGGCAAGCCTTACCCTCGCATGTGCAATGCGAGGAGACCGCGACTCGAACCCGGGACCTTCCGGTCACAGGCGGTAAGACTCTACCGCTTGCACCAGGCCCGCCCTTCGCAACCTATACTAGTAGGCCTTAAAATATTGATGGAGGTGTTATTAGAAATACCTCCAAAACCAAGGTGTCCATGCAAAACTTTCTACAAATATCAAATTAGCACATTAACAATGAGAGCACACATTAACTTTAGAAGCATCCAAACTTTGAAATCTTTCATACAGACATAAGTTTTCATCTCCAAATATGTCTGTTGTTCAGGTATCAGGTTCTCAGTTCCTTTAATAAGATAAAAAGTATGACATGTTCACATCACAACTAGATACATACATACAAGTATAAATCTAACTGAATAGATGTTGCCTCATTGCCACAGCCTTCCTTCTGTCCCCACTTAGCAATTGCTCCTGCTTGCAACCAAATAAACATGTTCCAGTAAGTATCAATGCTTAGTACAGGAGAGCTTTAGAAGTATAGCTGAGAGCTAAGATCTTCAGGTAATAAAGCATACTATTTCATAAGCCACCGTACCATATATTATGTAATAAGCACACTTCATAGAATATTAGGATAAGAGGTCACCCCCACATAACCTGTAGTGAGTCAGAATCCATGGGGTTGTTCATCCTCATTGAGAAAACCTGCAGAGGAACATTACACCATTAGATATCTTAAAAATGTTCCACTTCTCAAGTACAAGTAAATGCTCAAGTGACAATTATTTCCTGCTGTAACTCATAAGGACCAAACTCCTGGACTAAAAAGTTATGTTGATCACATGTCATGCACAGAATATTTGAAGTGACACCAAATATATAGTAAAATATTTTTCCAGTAAAACTTAACACACCAGAAGGATGCAAAGGGGCTGGCATAGATGTTGCATAACTTCTTGTTGCTGCATACATTTAGAGAATGAGATGACAGTTTCACAAATATAGATCACATTCATTCTGCTAAAAAAGCTCAGTGCTTACTACTCAGCTGCTTACAAGTGCTACTAGAGAACAATCTGCAAGCAGTCATATCCTGCAAAAATGAAGGTGGTTCACTAACTCTAGAGCATATAACTCTAGCAGAATAAATACAGCATAATAATTTGTGATAACAGCCTAAGATACCTACATCATAAAATGTTAATGTATTACAATTGCATCGTTTTGGTATTCACCTCTTGAACCTCCACCAAGCAGCTCGCACATATATGGTCCAATGCTTCCTCCATGCGGCTCCTCTACCTTGGGTACACCATCAGAAGGGGTGTTGTCACCAACAATTGCTGGAGCACCAAAAAAGCAAAAGTTGAAATGAGTCAACTGAACCCACATCCTCATAGGCAGTTAGTGCAAGCAACAGGCTAGCTGCCATATTGCATGCTTCCGAGAAAATGACATACTGTAAATGAAGATAGGAAAATCTGCACATAGTTTTAGTTTCGCAATTTGACTACTAGACCTACAGCAGAGGCCAAACAAGCAACTTCCAATATGCAGTTCCAAATATTTTGCAAAATGGAATGGTACTTGGCGGATTGACTCACATCAGCTGGCGTTATTGAGCTGTGAAATGAGATCAGCCAGATTGACTCACATCAGAACTACATAAAAAGGAACCCTGGATTAGTTATATAAACCCTACCAAGCATTCATTTATCCCATTGGCTAACTTTGGTAAAAGAGACCGAAAATCCATATAATGTAATCACAGTTCATTAAACATCTATACCATGGGAATTGTGGATACCTCTTAGTTGCCGTTGCGGATCACAAACTCATTCACCAAAAATACCTACAATAACAAAATTGATTTTCAATCAATATGAAGTGAAAAAATTGGCAAAGGAAAGAGGTGCTTGAGAACAGCAGTAGTCCTTTCTCCATTATGCAATAAATTACAGTGTAAATGGCAACCTCACTACTAATTTTGTTCTTTGTATTATTTGGACCTTAACATGTAAACTGACATGCGCCAAGACTAAAAAATAAAAATCCAGTTGTGTTGTGAAACTAACAAGCAAGACGAGCATCAAATTTTCCCATCGACTTTGACATCAATTCGACAGAAACTGAATGCAACTCAAAGCTGAAAGAGGCATTCCATCGAACACCTTGCCTACGAGATTAAGATACAAACAAGCCACACCGAACAGGAACCCTAGGTATGTGTACAAACAGGAATACAAGACTAGATCAGTCTCTGAACAAAACCATGCTCGTACAAACAGATTAAGGATGCAGACGTTCATAGGAAGGAATGGAGACTTGGTCATGGATCAGCGTGCCTGCTGGTAGAAGAGTAGCAAGGGCCCTCCGACCTTCTGATGACCTTCATGCCCTTGTACTGCCCTCAAGCTCCCAATCTAGCCTGCCTCCGTTGTCGCCCTCGTCGGGTGCACCTTCTTCCTCCTCGCCGCAGCTAGATCCACCTCCATCGGGCGCATTCACTTCGGATCTGGGCGGGGGAGGGACAGGCGGCGTGGGGGAGGTGAGCGGGGGAGGGGCGGGGGCGCGTCGGGGAGGGGCGAGCGGCAATGTGAGCGGCGAGGGAGGCCAGGGCGGGGGAGGGGCGGGCGCCGATTTGCGGCGCGACTCGCGGGGAGGCGCATGCGTGGAGGAGATTAAAAAACATAGGCCACGCGTCCGCATGCCCGAGCTCCTCCGTGAGGCCGTAGAGCGCGGAGGGGGTGCCGATTTTGCGGTAGGAGCAGTAAGGGCACTCCCATACTAGACTCTATCGTGATTTTCATACCTTCAAGACTTCATCACTAAAAATCATCCTTCTCGATGCAAGTTTATATAAATAGTTTTCATGAAGAAAATAATTTAATGAGCATCTACATGCCCCCACAAACAAAGAAGATCATATGTGGCAACGTGAGCCATAGTATGCTCTGCAACTCACTGTTGAAGGAGCACAAGTGCTAGAAACACCTGTCTACAGCACGACCAGTAGCAACACTGCAACAACAATAGATACTATCGTCCATTACAATAGGAATAGAAATATAAATACCAGTGGCATGCACCTAAGCAGGCATGACATAGATATCGTCGTCCATTACAATAAGAATAGAAATATAGATAGCAAAGTCAAAATAATTAGATAATAGTATATATTTAGATAATCTCCAGCTGCTTACAGAAAACATGTCCAATACCGCTCTGCCTTTTTGCTATTTTCGTCGATTGGATCCTTTGAATTACGCAACTAAGCACTGGCCTACAATTACAGAATAATCTCAATGGGCATACATGGACATAGCTCTCAAGTTGAAAAGTGAGAAAGGGAACGTACCAATCGTTTATCTTCATCAACCGACCAGTTCAAACGCCTGTCGGTTCTAAAATTCTCATCGACGTTAATTGTTTCAGTTTCTTCTACATCTACATCATCCACTAGATCATCAGTTTTTTGTGCTGGAGAAGGAGTTCTTCTAGCACCCAAATCAATTGGAGACATCGAAGATTGACCCATTGCAGCACCAACAAAGTGAAAATTTTCTGGAATATTATTTCCACTAGGATGGTTAGCAAATGGGTTTGACTACAGATAATTTGTGAACCCTCCTGGTGGGTATAACCTGCAAACATATGAATTCCCATGCTCTAATTAATCATATCTTCACCAAAATAGCACAGTATGCCATACATCACTAGTGACTGAAAATGAAACACTTTGCACTGCATATGCAAGTAAACAATCTATATCCACAGAACACTTCTCTGATGACTTACCCTTCACTAGTAGATGACGTTGACCACCATGCACCAACGGGAAAAGCACCAATTTGAGGAGCACAAGTTTTAGGAACACCAACATCTTGAGGAAAACCGGTGGCTCCAGCTTGAGCACGGATTGCAGCAGCTCCTCTAGGAACACTAGCATCTTGAGGAACACCGGTGGCTCCAGCTTGAGCACGGGTTGCAGCAGCTCCGGTGACTGGAGCACAGGTCCCAACAGCATGGACGGATGGAGAATGGGTTCTACGGACACCTCTGCCTTGTCGAGAATCAGTCTTTGTTAATCGATTCATCTGTGAGATTTGGGGATATTTTTGGGTCACAGTGGATGGGGGAGGAGATGGAATCGAAGGGAGCTATGGATGGACCTCGATATGAATCGAAGGGAGCTATGCAGAGATTTGGGTATGGATTTGGGTTAAAGATTGTTGTCGGGAGGAGATCAGTTGGGGATGGTCATGGAGCTTGGGGGCGTACCTCGATTTGGGCCTGGGGACCTCGATCTGCAGCCGGCGTGAGAGAGAGCAGAAGGCGCGCGGGAGCTCGCGGGACGGCGCGCGGGAGAGGGCGGTGCAGCGCGCGGGAAAGGGAAGAGCGCGCGCGGGGGAGCAGGGTCGAGGGCGCGCGTGGGAGTGAGGGTGGCGGCGATGGGAGGGAAGGGGAAGGCACACCGGATCCATGGAAACGATGGACAACTCCACAATGCGCACGGGGGCTGGTTTCTTCGGCATCGGTCGAAGCGTAGACTCAACGTCTATGTTAGACGTCGTTTCTTGTTTCTCTCCTCTCTTTCTTCAATAAATACATTGCCACATTAGCAAAAGTCAATAAATAGAAGGGTAATAAATAGACATAGAAACCATTGTAGAGTCTGCATTGGGAGTGCCCTAAAACGTCTCTACGAGTCCAAACAGAATTACGACAGAAAAGGCGTTTCAGGGGTGCTTAGTTCACTCATCACCACCTAAATCTGGTCTCATTTAGTCACTTTTATCCAAAAACTATGATTAAATGGGGCTAAAAGTGCATTAGCCAACTAGTCATCTAAGTATTGCTAAATGGGACTAAAGCCCACCTTTTAGTTAGGCTGCCTCATCTTTTAGTTACATTAGATCCAAACACCCTAACTAAAAGGGACTAAAAGGCCTTTTTTAGTCTCTTTTAGTCCAACTGGTTTAGATGACTAAACTTTTAGGAGATGTAAACCAAACATACCCTTAGAAAAACGCCTCAAAATGTTGCAGGTAACTAAGGTACTTTTGGCAAAACGGCTCTAATTGTTACAGGTAATTAAGACGTTTTTTAATTTGGCCTTCAGAAATATGCTTTCAGAGGCCATTTGAGATAAATGCCTTTATACAACAAGAAATTAAGGCACTTTAAAAAAATGCCTTTGACAAAATGCCTTCTGTTAACATGTGACTACTACTGAAACTATTTTTGCAGACGGTCATTTTCGATTAACGGAGGCAAGAAAGACCTCCACCTTTAGCAAAACACCTCTGCTAATTAACTTTCTGGAGACAGGCACCTTAAGCCGTCCGGCCTCCTTTAATCTCATTAACAGGCGCCTCTGTTAATGGTTTCTAGAAAATTCAAAAAACCAAAAAAGTTGGTGCTACTCTAACCTCAAACTTGCGACCAATCATTCTGTTAACACCCAAATTTGGTAAGCTTACCCTGAAAATGAAGGAATTGACTGATGGTATCAAAAACAGGAAAATCCCCTAATTAAGAGATATTTGTGAGCTGGCTAGAAAACATTCTTTAATATATTTAGGAGAGGCATGGCATCCAGGAGCTCCCCTTGTGAAGATAAAGGAAAAGCCACAAGAGCTAGAAGATTAAAGGAAAGAGAGACCTGTACGCACATGTATTGGAAAGCTACGTACTGGAATCCGTGCATGAAAGAAATTGATTGATGACTCCTGGTTACCTATGCTGTGAGGATGCAAGCCAACAAAATAAGCTCAACAAGAGGAAGCACATACAACTAACACCACACTCAGGACAAATTTTGGTGCTTACACACTCAGGACTAACACCACACTACAACTAAGACCCACACGATCACTTGTGAGCATGTGAGCATATATAGGATTCTGTCATTTTATATAAACATTTCATAATCTTGTATTGTATATTTTAGCTACTAAATGAATTCAAATAAAAAAGTTTTAACTGCAAAGTTTTAAATCTTGTCAAGCATTACAACTTTGATATATGATGTGTCTCTATCCGAGATTGTTTGAAAGTTTTAAAATTTTGAATCTCAAAATATATGAATTTTAAACAAATATTTGAGACCTAAAAACTTCAAATTTAAAACTTATCAACAGCAAACATGTAGATCAAATCGGCTACTACAACTTCGGTATTAACCATGTGAACATATATTCAAGGAGACCGAGCGCAGGCCGCAGAGAACCCCGCCGCCGCCGGTCCGCCCGCCCGGCAGGCAGCGCCTGCCGAGATTCCGCCCCATCGGCATCCAGGTCTACTTTGGACTGTTTCTTTCTACCATCAACTGTTTGGCCCTTGCTGACAAACTATCTATTTTAGGAACCATCGACTGTACATTCGGAAAATTCTAGAGTATTTTTTCAACAAGATCAATTTAATGTGAAGGGCAAAGAACCTCCGGAAGCATCTACTATACAGGATAAGATTATGGCAGAAAATAAGGTGCCTCGAGGCGTTCCCACTCATCAAATTGCACCACGGAAGCCTGCTTTCGACAAGGATTACCTCATCACTACGGAGGACAAAGAGGCTTTCTATTTCATAACATATAGTTACTCAGAGGCTGAAGTTGTTCAAATAGATGACCATCTCCTCACAATTGAACAGTTACGCCGAAATGTCACAGGTGGCTTCATATATGATCAGGTTAGACCTTTTTCAATTGCATATAGATCAACTTGTCTACAAATGTCTGATGTTACCTATATTGCAAACCTTTCAGGTTATAAATGCGTACGCTCATATAAGTAGTGTGGAGACCGATTCCACATCATTCATATCAACTTTTCAGGCTCGAAAGCTGTTAGGTGAAACTGGGGGCATAGGCAGTGCAAAACAAACAACATGGGTTCGCTTCATTGCAGACAAATGTATAGGAAGGAATTTGGTATGTACAATTTCATTAAAATCCCTACAGTTCTGGCTCCACCTACATCCATTTATGACAGGTATTTGTCCCAATGAATGTAAATGACAACCACGGGGTCCTATTAGTACTGAATTTCTTAAAGGAAGAGGTTCAAATCCTTAACTCCCTAGCCTCCAACCCCAATACTAGAGATGTAGTCAAAGAACATACACTGGTAAGTACGCTTATCATATCAGTTACATACACATCACAATTCACACATAGCTTTTACATATCTAAGTGATCATATGTTTCACAATATAATAGGTGGGCAACATACAAGAATGCATTGACTCTGCTATCGCCGCTGGTAGTGTTTCAGTACCGCAAGCTATCAGTATTACGCAGTGGGAAACAGAAATGTATTCTAACATACCACAGCAAACAGATGGGTAATATATTTTTCCTATGAAATTTATTCCTCTACAATACTTATTTAACTTTACATACATGGCAGCCATTCTTGTGGTGCATTTGCATTCGTACTTAAGTACATGATGGCATGGGATGGGGACAAGATGACGGAACATTTCACACAGGTCACTCCTATATTATTTATGGACTACATATACCTAAACACTAAAACATAGATTGGTACTTTTTAAACATCATGCTCGTTCCATTGAAATTCAGGCCCACATAGATATTTTCAAGAGGAAAATTTGCTCAGCACTCCTGCAATCTGATTGCAACAAGCGTCGATTAGGCTCATATAAGGACCTTATAACGGTACGTGGTACAGCAATGTATCCCATCCTTATCATGGGTTCAATACTTGTTCATTGTATCTAACATGTCTCATTGTGACCTTCAGAAGGAGGCTTACGATGCAAGTTCAGCGAGAAGACATGAGTAAGGCTGCTGACGACGATGTCAAAGAGATCAGCAATCCTATAGATGCCAGCAACTCCAATACCTCAACTAAAAGGAAACGGGACGCCCAAAGAAGAACGACAAAACTCCAAAGTCTGTGAAAGACCAGTTAAGCACCGCGTCTATCGCTAATCGTGTGCAACGCCCAAATCGCAGGGTCTCTAATCCAGGACCGCTCCAGTTGAGACCTTACAAGAAATTTTAAGTTACATTATCGACTCTATGTAATAATGTTACTATTTCCATTATTTGTGTTCAGCCTGTAAGTTCTATACTCAGATGTAGTTGGCCTATGTTCAGCCAAGTGGTTCAGCTTGGTATTATTGTTTCTATGAGATGTTTATGTTAAGAACCAACCAAAGGTAACCATTGGAGCTCGCACAGTTTTCAGAGAATTCTAGCAATAGGAAAGCGAAACTGCAGCATGATACCTGCTGCCCTCAGTCACACAAGCAACGCAAGCTTTCAAAGACAACTGCAATTTGGCAACCAGTATTCAACTAGGCATTAATGATGTTGGAAGATCTGGCTCTCACTAAATTATTTGCATTTGGTTAGCAGTCTACTAGACTATGCTGACTGCATCCAAAACACATCCTTGCACGTTATTATTCCTAAGATAAATAGAAGCAGGGTCGATGATGCAAATCAGCGGCATTATTACGCGATGTAATTCTGAACAATTTGCTTTGGCTTTTTCTAGGCAACTAAAATATGTGTACTTAATCATTTCTTCAGGCCTGCAGAATTTTAACTAGCTGCTACAATTTGTACTTAATCATTTCTTCAGGCCTGCAGAATTTTAACTACAAAACACAAGCGTCTTTTCTGCTGAACACTCTGAATTCCGAGGGTCAAAAAAGAACATTGAGCAAAGCAACCTGAGACACGAGTTGCACCAGACCAGAACCTCAATGTAAACTAGATCTTTTTTTTTTTGTATTGTTCTTCCACCCAAATGCAAGGATTCAGACAGGCCAATGCATACCTCGATGAAGCAGTCATGGAAAACAAGCCTAAGAAGCTCGACGGCTTGACGACATCCCACGGCACACAGGGATGGCGTTCCTGGCGGAGCGTTGCGCGTGCGCAGGGCCAGCATCGCTTGGCGCCGTGGCAGCTGCTGCGGCACCACGCGGCCACCGACGCGTGCGTCTCTGCGCGCTGGCAGTGGGTAGCAGCGGGGGTCGGGGAGCCGTTCGGGGCGTCGTGGGCCTGGGCGCCGGGGTCAGGGCGAATGCGAATCGTTCGAAGTGTTCGGGAGGAGACGGCGAGGGCGACCTGGCGGCCTCCAGCGTGGAGAGGCGGTGGTTCCACCTTCGAAGGAACCGACGATGGTGACCCTCCAGGCAGTGTTCTCTGGCTCCGCCGCATCGAATCCTGCAGCAAGGTCGCTCGCCCGGGGACATCTCAGCGCGGAGAAGAGAATGCGCCGAGGGTCAGGGAGCCTCAGCCGGTGCTAGCGGCTCTTCGTGTGCGAGGACGGCCGCGCGACGGTGGCGGCGCAATCGGCGGCCGTCGGCAAGGCAGTCGAGCCCCACCGGAGCCGCGCCCCACCGGAGCTCCCGCCCGGCACCGGCCGCCGTGCCCGCCGGGGTCGCGCCTGGCCGTGGCCGCGCCGGCTGGGACAGCACCCGCCGGGGCCGCGCCCAGCATCGGCCGCCGCGCTCCGGAGCCCCAGCCGCCACACAGCTCTCCGGCAACCGCACCTCCGCCGCGCTCCGGAGCCACGCCCGCACCCGCCGGGGCCGCGCCCGCCCCGCCGCCGCTCTCCAGAGCCGCGGGGTCGCGCCCGGCCGTGGCCGCACCCGCCGGCGGAGAGGCAACCCTAGGCCCAGCCCAACAATAAGCCTTACCCCTTCGTATAAAAAAAAACATGGATAATCTCATTTTTGCCCTTGAATGACCTCACTAAAATGACCAATTTACCCTTATTCGAAAATAAAATGAAAAATAAAAAATAGATATGGCCCCACATATTTTAGTACCGACCCAACTAATCTGGTACTATCCCCACCTATTTGGTACCTCCAGATACTTTCAGTTGGGTTCCTTTTATTTTTCCACCGTCCGATCTCGCCCAATGGACGGCCCATATTTTTCCCAACTATTGTAAAATTTCTCTTAAAACAAAATATTTATACAGTATTACTTATGTATAGTGAGAACAGAAAATCTGCTTGGAATACACTTGTATCAACACTTTCATTGCATTTAGAAAGTATTCCCTTGTTTCGTTGCATAGACACATGGATGTCCTGGAGCGCATACTCGATGGAAGGCAGAGTCCAAGTCATCTTCCCCTTTTCACTTCTACGGTATATCACGGCAGATTTCTCTTATGAGAGAATGATTGGTAGAGGTGCATGTGGGGAGGTCTACATGGTAAACTTAGGTCTTACGTCGGTCCTTCAAAATGTCTTGCTACATATCCAAATTCTCTTTTAAGTGCTGTTAAGCAATTAAACTGCAGGGGATCCTCGGTGACAAGGTTGTTGCTTTAAGAGGTTTTTAAACATTGTCGACGACAGCATGGTTCACCGTGAGATTACAACCATGATGATGGTTGAACACAAAAATATTGTGCGACTCCTAGGCTATATAATTCTCTTATACAGAAGAAGAAGCTACAGGAGTGGAAGGGAAATTTATTGTGGCGGAGATACGGGAAAGGTTGCTCTGTATCGAGTACTTTTGTAATGGAAGCTTTGACAGATATCTTACTAGTACGGAGCTACATTTATCGCATTGATTTCCCTTTGTTTCTTGTTCTTATATATTTTTAATTTTTTTACTTTTAATTAATGTCATATGAGGGGCTGATACAAATCAAAATGACCCATCCTTTTATGCCATGTAGAATTTCGAGTTCCATGCTGTCCTATTATTTGTTCTTTTTACTTCTACAGATGAATTACGAGGACTTGAATGGCACACACGCTATCAAATAATTCTATGAATTTGCAAGGGTTTGCAGCATCTTCACAAGGAAAAACATATTATTCACATGGATCTCAACCCTTCCAATATATTACTTGGTGATCACATGGTATCGAAGATTGCAGATTTTGGTCTATCAAGACTCGAAGAGACACGAATCACTATACCTCCTTATTGCCGAGGGTAAGCTACGCACATTAATAAATAATAAACTAGTGCGTCCATTGTCTTTTATGATATTTATTATTTCTTTATCTAATTCTCCTTGTATCATGCATGGATGCTTTAATGCAGAGGATACAGTGCTCCGGAATACCTACGTGAAGGCAGAATTTCAGCTAAGTCCGACATTTATAGTCTTGGTCTCGTAATCATGAAGCTAGTGACAGGAAATACGGAGAGGCCCAATATTGACGGTGTAAGTGATTTGTCTTACTACTAGTTAACACTGCATAGAAAATATCCCTTTTTTATAATTACAGGAGAAAAAATCCATCTTGAGTCATGAGTTACCTTGCTTTTCAATTGTGGCCGCCATCAAGTTCTTAGTGGACCTTGGTTCTCTGTGCTTGTGACAATAAAAGAGTAAAATACGGAATTGAACAAGGTAATTTTCCATTGGCAGCTTTATCAGCTGGTTCAGGAGCTGCATGCTGAACTTGGAATGCTACTCTTCATGATAAGAGGAATAGTACTGACTGAAAACCGATAAATAAGGATGACATGGTCACCAAGTTCAGGTTTCAAGTTCGGTTTCAGTTTTCACTAGTGCGGGATCTGAAAACAGAACCCTTGCTACTTGTTTTCCAGAACTGTAGCTTAGGTTGAACCTATGAGCAGTTCATTTCAGCATTTGCACATTTAAAAAATGTGACTAACCTAGGAAGAACTAGGTGATTTTTCATTAAGAAAAAAGTAAGCATCTAAATTCGAGTTGGAGATGACTCAAACCTACGTGGTTGTTGGTGGTTGTTGGGTGTATGACCGCAACTCCCAACGAAAACAATTAAGCTAGGCTCACTTCCTGGCATTTGCACATTGTATCTATCGAGACAATATTTGGGCATCGTTCTATTTCACCTTTATCAAATGACAGGTGCTTAGAAGATGGAGGCAGCGGTGGAATAAATCGGCGAAGTATACACCACTTTGGCACCAACAAGTCACTAAATGCCTCGAGTTGGCATTAAGGTGCACGGACAATGATCCGACACAAAGACCACATATATGGGATATAATCCATGAGCTGAACGAATCTGATACTTGTGCAAGAAACGAATCCCCTGAGCATCTGGTAAGCTAGCTTGTATCCTCCTATTTAGAAATTTAGGCAATTTCACGTGTGATCTAAATGACATGGACATGTAGAAGATACTAATAATCATGATTTTAATCGCTGAAGATAGGGGATGAACTAGAACATACCCAGCGGCACCAGAGCCGGTTGCAGTAGTCGACATAGCGCATGTTGGTGTAGTCGTCCCGCTCGGTACAGTGCAGAGAGGTTGCAGTGCCGAACGCCGCCGTCACGAACGTCGGGAAGAAGATGAAGTCGTAGGTCGCGGATCGACCGAGCAGTCGCGTGATTGCTCCCCAAAAATCTAATGGCCACCCTCCACCCGAGCATATGAACTCGTAGACGACTCGATTTTGGAGGCCTGCTCTCTCTATTCCCGTGCTCGCAGGAACCGGGACAGGGAAACCTTGGATACAGCGAAAGCAGTGGATGTATTTGTACGTTGGATCGAGAGCGACGAATGTTGAAACGAGCCTTTCTATTTATTTCGCAGCCAGGCAAGCCAAAGGGCGCATGAGCCTGCCTCAGAAGGGAAGGAGACACCACGGGAGGGGAGGAGAGGAGACCGACGCCAAAGGAGGAGAGGAGACGCACGTTACGGTAAACTCCCATAACTCTTCTCATAACTTTTCTCATTAGGGGCAGAAACTCCCAAAACTCCCGTCACTCTTCTTATTATTTTCCTTATTAGGGGCAGAAACTCCCGTCATCACGAGCAGAAACTCCCGTAACTCAGAAACTCCCATAACTCCTGCCCATAATTGATTTGAGTGGCAAAACCTTTCATGTCCGGCACCGTGTCAGGGCCGGTGGCGACGCGCTCGTGTGTGGCTCGCCTCATCCCATCTCAACCCACTAGCGTAGATAGACACAGTCCGCACATTTAAGTTGAGTCAACATTCGGTCAAAATTCCATATAGGACTAAATAATATTGCGCACATTATTTAATATGGGCCTTAGAATTTATTTGATTTAATTAGATAATATATGGGCCTGGCTCACATTAAATCTAACAATCCTCACAAAATTCTAGGACACATGTTACATAATCTCCAATCCACTGTTCTTTGATATACCAGAGTTTCAACGGAGACTGTTAAATTGAACATCTGTCTAGACCAGATGTTACACTCAGTCACAACTAAACAATGGACTATGCCTTGAATTGACAGTTTTATATGAAGTGAGTTTCACCAAAGTTCTTTTCTGGTACTAGGCTGCTACAAGCATCCCCTCTGGTTGAAGCATATAAGTCACACTTCAAGCCCTTTCATGAGTATCTAGAGACTACCCGCATCTAATAGACCGTGATGAGCAGTCGAACTCATATAGGTGTGCTCGTTCTAAGATGTCCTGTAGGCCGATATCTCTGTTTAAATAAATAAGCCACTCGGATCACATTAAGGTATAAACCATACTGCCTTACAACATAGGAGAAACGTACATCTCAAACGATCTGGACTTTATTATAGGGGTCTCTCCATCACAGTCAACCACTAGCTTGTTTCGCCATCCTACTTCACGGAATCTCCGATCACATAGGACAGGTTACCACTATGGAATGACTTTATGTGGGTCTTAAGCCCATCTCCCTCGATGCACCATCTATCACATTACGTGGCAGTCCCTTAATAAACCGATCTGCTAGATTCTTAGATGTATGGACATAGTCCAACGCTATTACTCTGGAGTTTCTCAGTTTTCTGACAGATTTTAACTGCCTCTTCACATATCTTGTAGACTTCATGTTATCCCTAGAACGGTTCATTTTGATTATCACAGTCTAATTATCACAGTTCATGGAAATAGCCGGTATAATTTTTTTAACCACCGGTAAATCCATAAGGAGTTCATGAAGCCACTCGGCCTCTACAGTGGCAGTATCTAATGCTGTGAGTTTTGTTTTCATTGTTGACCTCGTTAAGACGGCCTGCTTGCAAGACTTCCATGAAACAGCGCCACCTCCAAGTGAGTACACATATCCATTTATGGTGTAAATCTCATCAGCATCAGATATCCAATTTGCATCACAATAACCCTCTAGTATCCTTAGATACCCGATATAGTGAATGCCATAGCTCATAATCCCTTTTAGATAGCTCAATACCCTCTCAAGAGTACGCCAATGATCATCTCCTGAATTTAAAACAAACCAGCTAAGTTTGCTCACAGCAAATGAGATGTCAGGTCTCATTGCACTAGCTAAATGCATAAGCGAGCCAATAATTTGAGAATATCTCAATTGATTCCGTGCTATTTTGCGATTTTTCCTTAATAGCACACTTGGGTCATAAAGAAGTTGAAATAGGTGTGCAGTCACTATATCCAAAGCGATTCAACACCTTTTCCACATAGTGGGATTGCACAAGAGTTGTCCCACCATTTCCTTCTCTGAGTAGCTTTATGTTAAGAATAACATCAGCTTCTCCCAAATCTTTCATTTCACTTCCTTGATTACATTAATATTATTTCCAAAAATTAGTATATCATCCACATATAAGTACAAGATCACACATTCTCCTCCACCATACCGATAATAAACACATTTATCAGCTTTGTTCACAACAAAGCTGACTGATGTCAAAGTTCTATCGAACTTCTCATGCCATTG